CCAACCATACAATTATTCTCGTTGCTACTGCATAACTGTCATGTTGCTACTGTTATGAATCGTCACGTAAATATCTGATATGCAGGATGGTCTTAGGCGACCCCTGTGAAAGGGTCGTTCGACCGCCAAAGGGGTCTTGACCCACAGGTTGAGAACCGCTGCCTTGCACACTAAAGTGGACCCCAGCATAGCGCTGCTTCACGCTGGGAAGGCTTGCAAACGCTTTGTATGTTGTTGTTGAGGTGAATCCTCACCCGAGGATATTTTCCCATGGATTTTTAGGGAGAGTGGAAGGGAAGGGGGGAGACAGAGAGAGGCATCGATGTGAGAGAGACACATCGATTGGTTGCCTCCGACCAGGGCCAGGGCCTGAGGAGCCTGCAACCAAGGTACGTGCCCCTGACCGGGACCGAACCCGGGACCCTTTTGTCTGCAGGCCGACGCTCTACCCACTGAGCCACACCAGCCGCGGCCAAAATGCTTTGTATTTGCCGCGACCCAAACCGCGTTAGCTTGAGCTCCCTTCGCAAACTCCTAACAGGGGCCCCCCCACACAGCGCGGCGGAGCTGTCCCGCACACGTCATTTGTAAGAGGGCACGGCCAGGCTGCCCCCCGAGAATTCCCCTCCCCGCTCTCGGGCGCGCCCGGCGGGAGGGCCGTGTACCTGCAGACTGAGAACCATCCGCCCTTGAGCAGTCTTCCCGTGTCTCTTCCCGCTTCCCGAGACTCCTGGCCATGGCTAAGCAAAGGCCTTAAAGTGATTAGCAGAGCAATGCCCAGAGCTCGGTTCCCCAGAGGAGGGTCTGAGAGGCTGTGTTATGGGCCATCTCCCCTCCGCCCCCACCTGGGGACCCCGGTTTTCTCATAGAGCCCAGGGTCTGCCTGGAGGCCAGGGGCCATCGCGTCCATCTCCCCGCACTTTCCGCGCACGCGCTGAGCCCCCGTCTGTGCCAGGCACAGCAGCCCTTCGTGCAGGTCCCTGCCCTCCGCTTCCCTGCCTTCGAGGGGAGGGGCTCCCAGGATCCTAAGACCGGCAAGTGATGGGCTGTGGGCTGGGACGAGTCAGCGGCCAGACCCACGCGGCCCCACACGAGCCCCACGCCCGCCCCACATGAGAAGGGCCTCCGTCTGGGAGCTCACACGTCGCTCTGGTTTTCAGGTAACTGGGAGGACCTGTGGCTGCACGTGGACGCGGCCTACGCGGGCAGCGCCTTCATCTGCCCCGAGTTCCGGCACCTCCTGGACGGCGTGGAGGTAGGTGTGCTCCCTACAGAGGCCACTTTAAAAAATGTCCTTTTATTGATGTCAGAGAGGACGGGCGAGGGAGAGAGAGAGAAACATCCATGATGACAGAGAATCATGGATCGGCTGCCTCCTGCACGCCCCTCATGGGGATCTGCCCACAACCCGGGCCTGTGCCCTGGACCGGGAATCGAACCCTGACCTCCTGGTTCCTAGGTCAACACTCAACCACTGAGCCACGCTGGCCAGGCTGATGGGCTACTTTATTTATTTTTTACTTTATTTTATGTTTTTTGTTAATCTTCCCCTGAGGACATTTTTTCGTTGACTTTTAGAGGGAGTGGAAGAGAGGAGAGAGAGAGACAGAGAAACATCTATAGGGTGTCCCAAAATTCACGCAAGAAGTAATTTTGATAGAAAACACAGGTTTATAATTAAAAATTGTAAATGTTTTATTGATTCATAAAGTATGCAGTATAGGGTTATGTATGGAATAGCACATCGGGTCAGTGGCCTCCAGGGCTTTGCTGGCACATATGCAAAGCCGCGGTCTTCATTGGTCTTCATTGTCCCTGCTCCTGGGCCATAATTGGTTCTTGGTAATGCTTATCAAATTGAAGGGATTGAAATCAAAGGGCAACAGATATTAGAATCTGATTCAATAAACCAAGTAAAATTAGGCTTTTATTTTTTGTTGTTGTTGTTAATGCTCACGCAAAATTCAAATCTTGCGTGAATTTTGGGACACCCTATATGTGAGAGAGACACATCGATTGGCTGCCTCCTGCACGTGCCCCGACTGGGGCTAGGGATTGAGCTGGCAACCGGCAACCGAGGTGCGTGCCCTCGACCAGAATCGAGCCTGAGGCCTCTCAGCCCGTGGGCAGCTCACGGGCAGGAAGTTCCTCCCTCTAGGACTCAGGAGCCTGGAGCGGGACTGGGGCGGTGTGTCTGGGAGGAGATGGGGCGGAGGAGTCACGGCATCCGTTCTGTGCTCAGAGGCAGGGCTTCGGCGGCCTCGCCGTGCACGAGCGCAGGGGTGAGGGCAGGAGGTGGCCCGCTTGGACCCGGCTCCTCTCCAGCACCCTCTCCCCACCCCCCCGAGGCGGGCTCCGAGGGGTGTTGTCGGGGTCAGAGGAGTTAGTCGCCTGTAACGGGCTGACCACGTCTGGCAGTCAGCGCTGGGCGAGCATTAGACGCCGTAATTGTCGCCAGGCCTCGGGGCCCATCTCGCTCTCATGGCACGTGCCCATCGATTTTCTGATTTCCAGTTGGGCCTGATCATGCCCTCAGGCCAGGACAGCGGGGCCGGAGGCGCAGAATACCAAGTCCCCGGCTTCCCAAGCAGCCGTCCTGTTCGTGCCTCGGGAGGTAGCATGGGCTTACGTGGCCACCCCTGAGTCCCTCCTTCACTCAGGGATGATGCCTTGACCACTGCGTGCGTGCGAGGGCTGAGGCCAGTCCCCGGGCGGACACGGGGACACAGAGGTGCCTGTGAAGACGGGGTGCCGAGGCTCTGACGGCGGGGTGCTGGCGCCCAGCTCGGCAGGTCCCGCTGACGCCGGCTTTGCTGGGTGCTGGGAAGTGAAGCATAAACACCTTACATGGTGGGTGGCACCCACCCCTCCCCAGGCCCGGCTTCCCCCAGCGCCAGGGAGGAAGGGCAGGCGTTGGGGGGTCTGGGTGCCTCCCCCGGGCCTGGTCCTTTCTCACCACCAGGTTTAGGGTTTCAGACCTTTTCCTGCGACTCCCTTCTCTGCCCCATGAACTCGGGGTTTCGCCTTTCACGGGGTGCCTCCCCGTCACACCCCCTATCAGCCCAGACAGGATCTCGGTTCTATCAGCCCAGACAGGATCCCCCATCCCAGGACCCGGTCCTGCCTGGCGACCACGCTCCGCCCGGCGCTCAGATAAGGGCTGCAATATCCTGCCTGGGGCCTGCGGGAGATAAGAGCCGCCGTCAGCGGGACGGAAAGCGGGGGAGCGAGGGGCCGTTAACCAGGCCCGAGCGCAGCTAATAACACGCTGGCAGGCGGCCTCCTCCCACCTCGCGCTGCCTTTGATCAGCAAACGAGACCCCTTGTCATTTCCTGTCTCTTTCTCGCTTGATTTTTTATGGGCGCCCGGGAGGAAATGAAGCTGTGCCCCGAGCGGGCGGTCAGCTGGCCACGGCCCCCCATGCTCTCACCTGCCCCCCCCCTCCCTCCTGCCTCCTCGGGGCTCATCCTGGAACCAAACGGAGGGGCCCCGGGAAGAGTTCCAAGTCCTCCATTAGGAGGCCGACCGGGCCGTGCCTGGCCCCTCGGTGACTGATTAGCCCTGTGGCGGCCCGGCCTCCAGGTGCGCCCCGTCCTGCCGTCGGTCACGGGGCGGGCGGGCGCACGTTTCGAGAAACACAGAGCTGAGCAGGGTGGTGCTGGGAGCCCGCAGGGCGCCCTCGGGCCCTGGTGGCTAAAATCTCTCACTTTCTGCTGGACACTGTGGCGGGGCCCACAGCCGGGAGGGGCCCGCGCCAGCTGTTTGCAGCTGGGCCTGCACCCCGCTGCCCCGGCCCCGCCTCGCCGGCCGGAGCCCAGCCCCCACGATCCGCGTGAGCTCCTTGTGTCATGGGTGGGTGTGCGTGGTCACCGCCCCTTGACCTGAGTGAAAAGCGGCCGCCCATGTAAGTCGCAGCCCAGAGGCCGGGCTCCCGCCGCCCCACGACCCCCCGGCAGGGTCCCCGGTTCAGGGGGAGCCCGCCACTGGGTCCTCTGCGCCGGTCCTGCCCGGTGGCCACGCGAGTAACGCACATGTCCCCTCTTTTGTTTCCTTGGCTTCCTGGCAGTTCGCAGACTCCTTCAACTTCAACCCCCACAAGTGGCTCCTGGTGAACTTCGACTGCTCGGCCATGTGGTGAGTCGCCACCGCGCTGACCAGCCCGGCCCGGGGCCCCGCGGAGCCGGAGCCGCTGCGGGTGTGGGGCCCGGTGGGGCAGCAGCTCCTCCTCGGCCACCTCCTTGCTCACCCTGCAGCCCCCGCTCGCGCCCCCTGGCGGCCACTGTGGCCGGAGCTGGCCGTGTACTCAGAGGCCCAGAGGGAAGAAGCTGCCCAGCAAATCTGTGGTGGGATTTGCCGCCTTCACAGGAGGCGGACGCAGGACCGGCTTCCGGTCCAGCAGCCTCGGTGCTGCTCCCGGTGTGGCCCGGATCTGAGTCCAGATGCCGAGGAGCTGGGAGCTCTGATCCCCAGGCCATGCCTAGGCCCTCGTCACGGCTGCGCTGGCCAGGGCTGTGTCTGCGCGGCTGGGAGCTCAGGAGCGGCCGGGCGCTGCTCCGTCCCACGCGTGAGGCTGGAGGAACGCCATGGGCGGGGCGTGGCCACCAGGCTCGGGCTCCTTGGAGTTGGAGAGGGACAGTCTCGCCGGGACTCCAGGGGGGCTTCTCCAGGGCCTGGGCACCTGATCTCACTGCATCTTAGTGTTTTGTGTTACTCCTCACGCAGGGGTATTTCCCACTGATTTTTAGAGAGAGTGGAAGGGAGGGGGTGAGGCAGAGAGAGGGAGACATGGATGTGAGAGAGACACGCCGATTGGTGGCCTCCCGCACACGCCCCGACCAGGGCCGGGATCGAGCCTGCCACCGAGGACGCGCCCTTGGCCGGAACCAAACCTGAGACGGTCGTCCACGGGCTGACACTCTATCCACTGAGAAACACTGGTCGGGGCCAGATGGCCTTTTTTTTATTTTTTGACGTAATCGCCTCTTTAAAAGCTCCATCTCCAAGTGCATCACAGTGAGGGGTTCCCACGGCAGCTCATTTTAAACCCTGTCCCGTAAGCGATGCCTTTGCACCCTGTTTATTTGAATCTCGGCAAACTTGGGAGTCTCTGCTCTCGCTGCGCCCAAACAGCCCTCCCTGGGTCTCCTCCTGCGGAGAAGTCCCTCTCTGCACATCTGCGGGGACGAGGTCAAGGTCACCCTGCTGACCTGGGTCCCCCGGGACCTGGGCTCAGCGCCCCACAGCCCCGCTCCCCAGGGGTCCCAGGGGGTGAGCAGCCCCGCCCAGACCCAGGGCACGCGAGGAGGAGGGACCGTTCCCTGGAAGGGGATTGAGGTGGAGCACAGGGAGAGGGAACCGAGTGACCCCGTCCAGGGCTCAAGGGCCCCCGCCGTGAGCCACACGGTCTACGCCGTGCCAGGTTCAGCGCCAGCCCCGGGTTCTGTGAGGAAGGAAACAGGCCTGAGTTCCCGGCCGTCTGGGCAGAGGGGCCGCCTGCCTGCGGGATGGGCCAGGGGCCCGCATCCGTCCTCCCCGGCGCCCGCGCCTCTCACTCGCAGCGAGACCCAGCCCGGCGCTGCCACAGGAGTCTTCCGTCTGACGCGACCCCCGCTGCCAGGTGGCTCTCCTGCCTCTGTCGTCCCTGCAGCCGGCCCCAGCGTCATGGGTGGCTTTGCTGTCCCTGCCTTAGGGACGGGCCATCGGGGTGCGGATGCTGCTCCGACGGGCGCACCATCCCTGCCGGGGCCACCGACAGCGTGAGCCGCCGTGGAGGGGAAGCTGGTGACTGGTTCTGAGGAAGGAGAGGCAGAGAGAGAAGTATGTGCAGGTCCTTCCGCTTCAAACCCACCCTCTTGCAAGTCACATCCACCCTCTTGCAAAAGCGTGAATTTGAAGTGGAAAACCTGTATCTCAGGGACACCCCACCCCGTGGACCCGGAGCAGAGGCCCAAGCGCACACACGTTACAAACGAACACATGGGCACTGTTACAATGCACCCAGGAGGACGAGGCAGCCCCGCCACGGACTGAAGGGCCCCGGGTTCGATTCCGGTCAAGGGCACGGACCTTGGTTTCAGGTTCCCTGGCCCTGGTCAGGGTGTGTGCAGGAGGCAACCAATCGATGTGTCTCTCCCTCTCCCTTCCACTCTCTCTAAAAATCAATAGAAAAATACCCTTGGGTAAGGAAAAAAAAAAAGGAAAAAGAACGAGGCAGAATCAGGCCCCGGTTCTAGTTCTGCTTTTGTTGAACCCGACACAGATTCCACTCTCTCTCTCTGAGCCCTGGGCCGTCCTGGTCTGGGGCCAGTGTGGGCAGCCTCGCAGCCTTAGACAGCAGCGGGACGCAGGCAGCATCTCCCTCCCAGTGGCCGGGGCGGTGGGCCCGCCGAGTGCGCGGTCCGGTGGGTCCGGTGGGTCGGCAGCGTGTCTGCTGAGGGCGTGGACAGCCGTGCCTCGAGGCGTGGTGGCGGCGAGCGGGCAGAGAATGGAGCCCGAGGCGCGCTCAGGGGCTCTCCTGCGCCGTCCTGAACGTCCCCACGATCAGCACACACACCGGCCACCCCGAGAGGCCGCAGCGGTGACGGGCGGTGTCCCCAGCCATAGAATAGAGACCCAGGGAGGCTCGGGGGCCCCGAGGGAGGGCGGGTGCCCCCACACGCCTGCGTCGAAAACAAGCAAACACGTTTACGCGGGGAGTTTTTCTAGATGTGCTGAGAGGCTCGGCTACTACAGCAGACAAGCTAAAAAGGGGTTTCTGTTTTTTATCGCTCTCAGGGCTTTTTCCATCCCGTAAGCAGCAAGTGTCTCTCCACAGCTCATGACATTTTACCGACGTTGGCGGCACTTTCTAAACACAGAAACGGACGAGGTGACGGACGTTTCCAACACCCGCCGTCTTTTTAAAAAAATATATATTTTATTGATTTTCTACAGAGACGAAGGGAGAGGAATAGAGAGTTAGAAACATCGATGAGAGAGAAGCATCGATCAGCTGCCTCCTGCACACCCCCACTGGGGATGTGCCTGCAACCAAGGTACAAGCCCTTGACCGGAATCGAACCCAGGACCCTTCAGTCCACAGGCCGATGCTCTATCCACTGAGCCAAACCGGTCAGGGCAACAACACCCGCCGTCTTTACAGCCACAGCAGACACGTCTCCCAGCGGTTTCCTTACTCTGCTCAGCTGTTCAGTGTCCGCTCGGCGTTTTGGATCCTTTCTACGCAATGTCTCTAACGCCAGGCGTCCTCCAGAGAAAGCCCCACCCCACGCGCACCCAGGCACGTGGATCTGCCTCTCAAAGGGGCTGGATTGTTTTTCCAAAGAAAATTAACTTTTTTTTTTTAATCCTCACCTGAGGATATTTTTCCATTGATTTTAGGGAGAGTGGAAGAGAGAGGGAAAGACAGAGAGAAATATTGATGTGAGGGAAACATATCAATAGATTGCCCCCCTGCACGCACCCCGACCAGGGCCTGGGCCGGGGAGGAGCCTGCAACCGAGGTACATGCCCTTGGCTGGAATCGAACCCGGGACCCATTGGTCCGTAGGCCGATGCTCTATCCACGGAGCCACACCGGCCAGGGCTGAAATGAACTGTTATCAGGGAACGTGTCACCGCGCTTGCCCGCTGCTGCGTGGAGTCCTTTTGTAGATTTAGTGACTGTGGGAGACCCCAGCCCTGTGGTTCTGGTGAGGCTTGATGCTAGAGCAGTGGTTCTCAACCTGTGGGTCTCGACCCCTTTGGGGGTCGAATGACCCTTTCACAGGGGTCGCCTAAGACCATCGGAAAACACATATATAATTACATATTGTTTTTGTGATTAATCACTATGCTTTAATTATGTTCAATTTGTAACAATGAAATTGGGGGTCACCACAACATGAGGGACTGTATTAAAGGGTCGCGGCATGAGGAAGGTTGAGAACCACTGATCTAGAGCTTGTGGTTGACCTGTCGCACAGTTTCCCCGTGACCTTGTGGGTTCTTTGGGCTCTGGTCTTGGGGCCCGTCAGTAGCCTGAGTCTCCTCAGCTGTTACTGGCCCCGAGAGGTAACCCGAGCCCTCGTCAGGGGGCCTATGCCAAGCTGCAGACTTTTAAAGACAACATAAGGCCCGGCTGGTGTGGCTCAGTGGCTGAGCATCGACCTGTGACCCAGGAGGTCACAGCTCGGTTCCCGGTCAGGGCACAGGCCCGGGTTGCCGGCTCGATCCCCAGTGTGGGGCGTGCAGGAGGCAGCCCATCCATGATTCTCTCTCATCATGATGTTTCCATCTCTCTCTCCCTCTCCCTTCCTCTCTGAAATAAAAAAATATATAATAAAAAAGAGGAGGTAAGAGGCCTTGCTTGTAGCAGAGCACAGGGTCCTCTCCCCAGTCCGTCCACGCTGAGTGTAGGCAGGAGCTGGCGGGCGGCGTGACCTTGAGATGCCCTTGGTGCCGCCTCCACCCAGGTGTGGGCTGACGCTCTCCCCGCCCCTGGGAGCTAGGGGGCCCCACGCTGTCCTGTCCCCGCAGCGGAGCCGTGTCTAACAGTAACAGCAGGACGGCGGACGAGCGGGATGTGCTCACTGGGTGGGTGGGCCCCGCTGTGGCAGGGAACAGGAGTGAATGGGGCCCCCCAAATGATGCCATTGAGGCTTAAACATCTTGAGTTTGTATGTTGTTTAGAAACATGCTCATCAACACCATAGATGACGTAGGGATTTGTGCAGAGAATTCAGAACTCCGGGCGTGATCAAGCCAGGCAGTCACATGGCGCCCCCTGGGGGCGGTGAGGGGAAGGACATGCGGTTTTGCTCGGGTTTTACTCTTAAGTAGGCAGGTGGATGTATTACCCTTCATATCTGTTTTAAAACCACAGCTTTAACGCTGCATAATATTTCCATTATTTATTCATTATTTATGTTTAATCCTCACCCGAGGATATTTTCCCATTTATTTTTAGGGAGAGTGGGAAAGACAGAGAGAAACGTCGATTGCTTGCCTCCCGCACGTGCCCTGACTGGGGCCCGGGCCGGGGCGGAGCCTGCAATCCTGCTAGGTGCCCTTGGCCGGGATCAAACCCGGGACCCTTCGGTTCTGTCCGACGCTGTGTCCACTGAGCCAACCCGGCCAGGGCTGCATGATATTTTAAATGAAGAAAAACCATAACATTTGTAAAGGAAGGTCATGCTGGCGTGCGGGGAGGGCGTGCGGCCCCCACGGCGAGGTCGGAGCTCTCCTGGGAGCGCTGACTACGCCCACCCCTCGCTCTCCTGCCCCAGCGTCCAGGCCGGGCCCAGCGCCTCCCCAGGCCAGGGGCCCACGGGAGCCCTTCCAGGGTCCTCACGCAGGGGCCACAGGTGTGACCGGTCCCTTCACGGGTCGGAGAGAGGGCACGGCGCCAGCTCCCGGCACTTCCTTCACCCCTGAGGCAGCACCAGCTCCGCCAGCTTCCTAACAAACCAGCCGCTCCCTCATGCTCCTGGTGCCCGTATCCATCCCAGGCTCGCTGGCTTCCCTCTCAGGGGCTCTAACCTTCTATTGCTTCCGAGCCTAGCCTACTGTCAGACCAATGCCTGCCTCTCTCTCTCTCTCTCTCTCTCTCTCTTTCTCGTAATCCTCACCCGAGGACATTTTTCCATTGATTCTTAGAGACGGTGGAAGGGAGAGGGAGAGACACAGAGAGAGAAGCATCGATGTGAGAGAGACAGCGATTGGTTGCCTCCCGGATGTGCCCCGACCAGGGCCAGAAATCGAGCCTACAACCCAGGTACATGCCCTTGACCAGAATCGAACCGGGATCCTTCAGTTTGTGGGCTGACGCTCTATCCACTGAGCCAAACCAGCGAGGTTTCTAGTTTGCTCTCAGATAATCTATTTGCTGCAAAATTGCTTCGAGGTGGTGTCCATGCTGCCAAAGAACCCGGGGCAGGGGGTGGGGGGGCGTTATCACAGATCCCCATCCCTGCGGGAGGTGTGGCCTGGCTTTCACCGTCACCATCACCCCGATGCGTGTTCTGGGGGACACACAGGTGCCGGAGGGCTGAGGTCTGGGGACAGGATGCCACAGCCCGATGTCACCTGCTCCCCGCCAGCCCTCTGCTCACCCCGCACACGCCAGGACACCCTGGGGCCGGCGCTGGGCCTGGAGGGACACAGGGAATTAAAGCCACGACCCGCGGGCCCATGAGCAGCTCCCCAGCATCGCCGTGTAGGGCCTGGAGTCTCCCCACGGAGGTGCAGTTGACTAACTCATTGGCCGCTGGGGATGGACTCAACCTCCAGCCCTCTCCCCGCCCGGAGCGTGGGGAACGGGGCGCACAGTTCCACCCTCTCCCCAGGAGCCGGTGTTCCCGCGGCCGCCCCTCCTGAGCGAGGAGACACCCTCCTCACGGCACAGACTCCGGGGGATTTAGGCACCGTGTGCTGGGGACCGGGGACAAAGACCAAATATTTATTCTTTTTCAAATTATATATGTATGTTTTATTGACTTCAGAGAAGAAAGGAGAGAGAGAGAAACATCAGTGATGAGAGAGAATCATGGATCGGCTGCCTCCCGCATGCCCCCCACTGGGGATCGAGTCCACAACCAGGGCATGTGCCCCGACCAGGAATTGAACCATGACCTCCTGGTTCAACCACTGAGCCACGCTGGCCAAATATTTATTCATTATATCTCCTGCCCTGGGTGCTCAGAGCCAGGGGAGTGGGAGCACAAAGGCAGGGCCTGTGCGGAGGGCGGGGAAGGGGCCCCGGAGCAGGTGAGGTGCTGGGCCAGGTGCAGGCCACAGGGGCCGGGGAGAGTCCCCTGAGAGGCCCTCTGAGCGGTCGCTCTCCCTGAACCAGGGTGAGGAAGCGCGCGGACCTGACCGGAGCCTTCAAGCTGGACCCCGTGTACCTGCGGCACGGCCACCAGGACTCGGGTGAGCGCCCCGCAGTCCGCGTCTGCTCCCAGGGCTGCGGCAGGGCTGTTCGCGGGGCACAGCTCAGCGTTTCCCGCAGGGCCCTGGGCACCTGGGTCCGGAGGGGGCGGACTGACCATGACGGAGAAGTTAGGCCTGTGACCCCGTGTGTCTGACGGTTTCTCTTCTCTTCCTCTCTCTCTCCCAGGGCTCATCACTGACTACAGGGTAAGTGGTCGCTGCGTCCCTGGCAGCAGGGCCCTGTGGTGCAGACGGGAGGCGGGGCTGGGCCTGTCGCAGCCCCAAGCCCTGCTGGTCCCTTGGCCTCGCACGATGGGGGTCCCACTAGAGACACGCCCTCCCGCATCCTGACAGCAAACGAGGCCAGCAGCTCCGCTGAGCTCTGACCGTGGGAGGGAGTCAGCTCCGCGGGAACTTCTCCGCGGGGACGGGGACTCTGCACTCCGGTCCTCCAGGGACGGGCGTGTCCTTAGACGGAGCGGCCCTCGTCCAGTGGACCTGGTCTCGGCGGGGCGGGCATCGCCGCAGTCCCCTGGCAGCGGAGTCAGGCTGGGAGGTGGAGAACTGCTGCCCTAATCGGAAGGCAGAGCTGGGACCTGGGCTGGGGCCCGCCCTCTAGCCTGGCCCCCACGCTGTCGGGAGGGGGAGCTGAGTGTATGCCGAGTGGATCGGACAGCCTGGGGACAGGCTCACGTGCTGTCCACCGTGGAGGCCGAGTGCCCGGAGTCGCTCATGGGACGCCCATGGAGCGAGCACTGACGGGCAGAGGCCTGTGGGCGCCTCGGGCGGCACGGGTTTTCCTCCTGGTGGTTTAAGCACAGGAATCACACGGCTCCTCCCACGGAAGGTCACGAGTGATGGCTGCTCTGAGCCGGGCGAGGGGCTGGGCTGGGAATGAAACAGACAAGACCGAGTCCCTGTCCCCTCAGGACTCGGGGTCTTTGGGGAGGTGGGGAGCAGGGGGACGAGGCTGGGTGCAGAGGGAGTTTCAGTTCTAAGTGGCATCTGCCCCTCCGGGCTGCCCCCCGGCTCTCCACGGCGCCGCCGCCCAGCTCCGGCCCGGTGTGCGCTCAACAGGGGGCCCTGAGCTCACAGCACCGTGAGCATGGTGGCTCCCACAGCACCGACTGCTCCGGCCCCCGGCCTTTTGCCGAGACCCGCTCCCTCCTCTCTGGGGGCCGTGGGGGGGGCAGCCCCTGGCCCGCCACTGAGGCTGTCTGTCCCCCGCAGCACTGGCAGCTGCCGCTGGGACGCAGGTTCCGCTCCCTGAAGATGTGGTTCGTGTTCCGGCTGTACGGGGTCACGGGCCTGCAGGCCCACATCCGCAAGGTGACTTTCCCACTGTCTCTGGGAGGTGGGACTTTCTTTCTGTATTTTAAATATATTTTATTGATTTCAGAGAGGAAGGGGGAAGAAGGGGGAGGGAGAGAGAGGGAGGGAGAAACATCAATGATGAGAGAATCAGGGGCGGCTGCCTCCTGCACGCCCGCAGCCAAAGCATGTCCCTGACCGGGAGTCAAGCCCTGACCTCCTGGTTCACAGGGTGATGCTCAACCCTTGAGCCCCGCCATTGCTTTTGTTTTCTTTTAACAATTGAGGAAACTGAGGCCATCGTGTGGCTGGGACTTAGCCAAGCCGGCCCCCCCGCCCCCACTTATCTGCTGCAAAAGGCCGGCCGCTTGCACGGGGTCCCTCCTGTCCCCGCATCCTTCGTCGGCCACGGCCCTGCCTGGGGGGACAGAGGTCGTGGGCGTCCACGGCAGGGGGCCCGCCTGCAGCTTCTGGTTCAGGTGGTCGTGCTGTGGCCTCCGTCCGTCCCAAGTCCTGGTGCCGACCGGGCTCAGCCCTGTGGGCTGGACAGGATGTCCCAGGCCGTCCTCCGAGACAGGGCGCTGGCTGGGCGACCTGCTTAGAGCCGCCAAATGTCCCAGCCGCCCACCGCCCGCCTCGCAGGGAGCGTGTGGGGGCTGAGGGGTGAGAGTGCCGGCTCAGACATGATGAAGACGCAGCGTCTGGGGAAGGAGAGTGGCCGTGGTGGCTCATGTCCCCCCGATTCCGGCTGTCAGCCCGGGGCCTCTGGGGCGGGTCCTGCTGCCTCGTGTTAGACACTGCGAGCCTCCCTCTGAGGGTCCCCGTCCTGTGGACGGACGAGGAGGGGGCTCAGGGGCTTGGCCAGCCTGTCCCCAGGCCGGTGTGTGGCCAGAGCCTCAGGCCCCTGCAGGCCCCAGTCTTTGGCGCCCTCTGGTGGCCCCATATGTCTCATGTGACTGGGAACTGCGCCTTTTATGGGGGTTCAGCCCCACCCACACCTCGAGCAGAGATGCTGCTCAGATGCCCCCTGCGCCCTCCCAGCACCTGCCCCAGGCTGGGTGCCTGGGTTTAGACTAGAAAGACACGCACCGAGACCACGTTCCCAGCTCAGGTACCGTCCGAGTCGGCTATTGAGCTCCATACCCACCTGGAAGTCAGGCGGCGACATTATCCACGCGAGGGGGTCCGTGTGCGGGCGAGGGGCTGACGTGATCTTGCTCGGGGGCGGCGAGCACCTTTGCATCACGAACAGCCGCGGCTCTGCAGGCCCGAAGCTCCGGCCGTAGGCCCCGCGGCGGAGCCCAGCCTCAGGCTCCCCATCTGCAGAATGGGCCGAGGGCGGCGGCGCCCGTGCGAGGCTGTGGTGCGGCCCGCCCAGCCTGCTGTGGGCACCCGGTCAGCCACCCCTCCTTTCTAGAAGGTTCAGTACCTCTGTGCAGTGTTTCCTCTGAAAACACAGACAGTGTTCTGGTGGGACAGACACAGGAGAACGGGGTGGGTGGGTGGGTTTAACTGGAGACGCCACCTTTTCCCGTGGTCACACGAGCGTGTCCTCCGTCTGTGCGGGAACAGCGGGGGCGGGGGCGGTGACAGAAACACTGAAGAAAATGGCTATAAGTGCAGCAGGGGCTTCCCGCCGTGCAGCCCGAGAGGTGTTCGGGGCTGAGCTCAGACAGGCCCTCTCTGCCCCCAGCACGTGCGGCTGGCCCGCGAGTTCGAGGCTGCGGTGCAGCGGGACCCTCGCTTTGAAATCTGCGCGGAAGTCACCCTGGGGCTGGTCTGCTTCCGGCTGAAGGTACGTGCACGTCCGTTCAGTCTTTCTTCTCTTTTTTTATTTTATTTTTTTAAATATATTTTTATTGATTTTTTTTTTTAGAGAGAGGAAGGGAGAGGGATAGAGAGTTAGAAACATCGATGAGAGAGAAACATCGATCAGCTGCCTCCTGCACACCTCCTACTGGGGATGTGCCCACAACCCAGGTACATGCCCCTGACCGGAATCGAACCTGGGACCCTTCAGTCCACAGGCCGACGCTCTATCCACTGAGCCAAACCGGTTAGGGCTGTTCTCTTTTTTTTTTTTTAAAAAAAAAGATATTTTTATTGACTTCAGAGAGCGCAAGGGAGAGAGAGAGAGAGAGAGAGAGAGAGAGAGAGGGAGAGAGAGAAACGCCAATGATGAGAGAGAATGATGGGCTGCCTCCTGCCCTGGGGATGGAGCCCACAGCCCGGCATGTGCCCTGACCGGGAATCCAACCACGATCTGGTTCCTGGGTCGAGTTCAGCCCCTGAGCCAGCCGGTCGGGCACTTTCATAAAAACAAACCCTGGGCCTGGGAAGGGCCGCTCTCGACAGCGTGTCCTCAGGCCCCGGAACTGTTACCAGGCTGACTGTCTTGTCAATGAAGGCGAGTGGTCGGTGGCTCCCTTCACTGAGGCGCCCCCCACCCCCCCTCCTTGGTCCCCCAGGGCTCCAACAAGCTGAACGAAGACCTTCTGGACAGAATCAACGGTGCCAAGGAGATCCACCTGGTCCCCTGCCACCTGAGGGACAAGTTCGTGCTGCGCTTCGCCATCTGCTCCCGCGTCGTGGAGTCCGCGCACGTGCAGCGGGCCTGGGCCCACATCCAGGCGCTGGCCACGGCCCTGCTGGGGGCCGGGCAGGAGTAGCGGTGAGCGCGCCGGGGAAGGGGGGGCAGCACCCCTCCTGTCCTGTCTGGAGAGCCGGGAGGCACCATGTGCTCCGATGGTTATTTAGAGGCTCAGACTAACTTTATATCCAGGCGTGAAAACTGTCCCCGGCGTCTGGCTATAACCCCCGCAGACTTCTCCCCGTTCATTGGGCGACTTAGTATCATGACATAGGGTGTCCCCCCCAAATGTATACACACTTTAACAGCTCATGTAGTATCATACTATACTATATTATATATAGTATCATAACAGTGTATATCATATATACTACATAGAGTATAAAACGTAGGGTGTCCCCCCAAAATGTATACACACTTAACAGCTCATGTAGTATCATACTATACTATATTATATACAGTATCATAACAGTGTATATCATATATACTACAGAGAGTACATACGTAGGGTGTCCCCCCCAAATGTATACACACTTTAACAGCTCATGTAGTATCATACTATACTATATTATATATAGTATCATAACAGTGTATATCATATATACTACGGAGAGTATCATACGTAGGGTGTCCCCCCAAAATGTATACACACTTAACAGACATATTCTACTGTTCTATAGTTTACTATACAATACCATGTAGTATCATACTATGCTATGCTATATTATATATCCTATCATAACACTGTATATCATATATACTAGAGTATCATACATAGGGTGTCCCCCCAAAAAATGTATATACACTTGAACAATTGATAGCACAATTTTGAAAATGAAATGCATTTTAATGAACACTGCCTTTACAATCACCCAAAGTGCGTATAAGAATAGGTGGTATTGGATGCTGCGTGTATTAGTCACAGGGCCAATGGACTAGCAGTGGTTCTCAACCTTCCTAATGCCGAGACCCTTTATACAGCTCCTCATGTTGTGGTGACCCCCAACCATAAAATTATTTTTGTTGCTACTTCATAACTGTAATTTTGCTACTGTTATGAATCATAATGTAAATAGCTGATATGTAGGATGTATTTTCAGGGGTCGCGACCCACAGGTTGAGAACCACTGGCCTAGAGGGAGGGAGATCTTAACACCTGGGCTGCACCTGAGCATCGCTGAGGCCGCCATGTCAAGCCCAGGCCATGGTTCCGAGAGGGAGGGAGGGTCAAGGTGCTGTTTCCCGGGAAGGGGGGGGGGGCAGAGTCTTCTGACCTCGATACAATGTGCCACAGAGGAGCCAGGCCGGCAGTCAGACCTCCTCCCTCCCTGGTCACACTTCCTCACACACATCCTTCTCTGTGTTCAGAGGGACGCGTACAACATTCTTTGATTCTTCCGTGTTTTTTTAATGTAGCCATATGTTCATGCTATTTTCCCCTGTAGAGATCCAAGCTGAACAGACGTGTATCTGAAAACTGGAGGGAGAGGAAGATAAACATCATCCGGCTCCGTGGAAGCGAGCCCGCCGGCTCCGCACTTCTCTCTCCAACGCTACCAGACGCCTGCGCTTACGTCTCCCGAGTCTCTTGTCGGCGAAGAGATATTATTTGCTGCGTGAAAAGTCAGTCCCCAGGGACGTAGCTTTCATTCATTGTTTGGCTGTGGTTTTGTTAATTAAACAATCATAGTGCTTCGTGCTCTTGGAGTTGGCCGTGGCGGGGAGGGCGCGGGAGCTCTCTCCCAGGGCAGGCTGGGTGATGGGGCTGGAGGTCACGCCTGTGGCCTTCCCCTTGCTCCATCCTGCGGCCAGTGCTCAATAAACCATCTGAAGTGCATGGCTATTGCGTCTGGTGAGCTTCCTGTTCTACGCCGTGCCCAGCTGATGGTTATAATATGGACGTACCCTTTCCCAGCGGCCAGAGGTATGGCATCCTTGGATAAACAGCATTCATTCATTCAACCATGTGTATTGAGTGTGTCATACATGTCAGGCACGGTGTTCGAAGCTGTAACAACATATAAGGTTTACTTGGAGGGAACTCCAGCTTTTAAATAAATAAATAGCAAGATTACGGAGCACAAAAAGTGGGACCACCGCGAGCAGGGCGGTTTTTTACGGTCATTTGGATGTCCCATGTGTAGTTGCTACTCAACAGTCATGTTCTCCACCCCCACCTCCCGGTAGTCACTTTCCCAGGAAGGGTTCCCCCTGGGACCCGCTGGGCCCAGACAGGGAGAGGAAGGCTCTAGGCTTCCCAGGAAGTGGCTTCCTCCTTTTTCCAAGAGAGAATTCCGGGGAAAGGATCCTGTCCCAGTGTGTCCCCTCCCTTCTGCTCTAAGTAGGCGGGTTCCTTGTGTGTGGGGGCCTTCCTGGGGCAAGAGGCCCAGGCCTGGGGGAATCCACGGGGAGAAGAAGGTGGAATGGAAGATGGAAAGACGGCCCTTCCTGACAGCCCTAGGCGGGTCATCGGACCGAACCGCCCACCTCCAGACCAGACCTCCTGTGACGGGCCACAGGGGCATGCACCACCCAACAGGCGGCTGTTAGTGGCTATTCTGTTACTTGGTCTGAAAACGCGATTCACTAAACTCACCTAAGTGGCTCTGCTCTCTGAAGCCAAAGTCCAAGGTGGTAAAGAAGCGCTTCTCAGACTTGCATGGGCGGGACACTAAGGAGCCAGGCTGGGCGGGATGTGCTGGCAGAGGGGGCGGGGCGGCTCCGAGCCAAAGGGCTGACAGCAGGTATTCCAGCTCCCCAGGCTCCTGGAATCGCACATGGACTTGACTCGCCACTCCGCTTAGTCTCAGCCTATAACACTGATAACAGGTACCTGCCCGCTACGTGCCTGGCCTCCGGAACCACTGGGCCCATCTTCGAGGACTCCTGGCGGGCAGGTGAGTCCCGGTGAGCGCATCCTAGGGAGCCCCCCTGAGTGCAGCCCGCCTCGCCGCCTGCGCGCCTTGATTGCGAGAGACTCCAAGGGGGAAGCGCCTTCGCAGGGAAACGCAGGGAGACACCTTCCAAGTTCAGAAAGCCCGCGGGTTGCACAGTTAGCGTTTCCATCGTCTACAGAACAGCCTCC